TCCGCAGACGTTCCTCAGTGCAAGTCCATCTACTGAGGTCTGGTCAGCCTATCTAGAGTCTCTCGCTTTAGGAACATCACCTCTTCCTCACCCAGCAGTAACCAGTTGCCAATATTTCTTCAGTTAAGATTGGGGCCTGCTGTTCATGTCCCAGTTCTGTGCTGGGTTTTTGTCTGCTTGAGTTTTCATGGGTCTTGTGCATGCTGACATCACTGCAGTAGGTTGATATGAGCAGGTTCCCAGGAGCTTGTAGGACTCTGTTTCCATATAGTGATGCACCTCTCCCTGGCTATTACATTTCTGTCCCTCTTTCACAACGGTCCCTGAGCTCTGGGTGGGTGAAGTTTAATATAGTAGTCCTGTCCAGGGACCAGCATTCTGCAGACTCTTAATCTCTATGCTTTGGCCATTTGTGACCTCTTGTGTGCATGTCCCTCTGTTGCATGAGGGATCTTCATTAATGAGAACTAACATTTTCATTAATATCCTCTTTACCCCTTTTTCTATGTTCCATGAGCCTTAGGTGTAGAGGTTGCATTGTGGATGTGCCACTTAGGCTTGGGCAATTCGCAGACAATGTCTCTGTGTGACCAGTTGTGGAACTCTGTAATGGTCTCCAGCTCATGCAAAAGAGGCTTCTTTTATGAGTGGTGACTAGAATATCTGTAAATATAAGGGTACATATTTTGTACATAGTAAGAAATTACATTAGTCTAGGAAGACAGTCTTGGGGTTTTCTCTAAAATCTATGATTTCCCCAGCCATGTGTACTGGCCTATGTTTACAGTACCACACATGAGTTTCCTTCTACTGAGTAGGATTTTAGTCCAATTAGGTAGCTGTTGATTTCCCCCAAGATAAAAGTGCCACTACTGCACCAATGTTGTTTGCTATGCTGGTCGATGTGACTTTTAGACCTTGAAGCTGGGGTTGGACAATGGATTGATGTTCTCCCTTAGCTACTTGCACAGTGCTCTCCAAAGCTATGGAAGATAGGGAGGTGGCTTATAGATCAGTTTAAGCTCCATTGCTCTAAATCTTGTGTCCAAACTATGTCTTGTCTTCAGCAATAGGTTCCTACCATGAAGTTCTGGGAGGCAATCAAGGACTGTGGCAATTTTGGGATAGTCTGTGTAATTTTGGGAGTCTCTTGGACTACCCTGGCCAACAACTCAAAGGATGGTTTTTCCTGTTTGCACTGTTTCTTGTGTAGTCTTCAGCTATACTCACAGACTCATGTAGGGACATTGTATGTGTAATTTTTCAGTAGGTTTTTGGACTATTACAATTCCCTCCATGTTTTTTTATACTATTTTGATCACAGTGAAGTGACCCTCCTGATCTTTTCCATATAGTTTTAGTTTGAAGTCTATTTTGTCAAATATTAGAGTTGCAACACCTACTTGTTTCTTAGTGCCATTTTCTTGGAAAATTCTTTTCCATCCTTTCACATTAAAGTAGTGCCTATCCTTGAAAGAGAGATGGGTTT